TTCGACATCTATGTCATCGAAAACTCATCAAATCGAAATTGACATCGAAAATCAGGCCATTTCGATCAAATTATTTTGACATCAAAAATACTTGTTTCCAAGTTACCAATGTCCAAAACCCAAAATTAGTCTAAAATTAAAAGTTATAATCATGCATATACAGGGTGATTCAGAATAAGTATATTGTCCTTAAACATACGTATTTCTGACCACATTCTGAGACGATTTTTCCTTTGGCAAAAATTTGTGCGGAGCTTAGTTTTCAAGTTATAAAGAGAAATAGTTAACGAATTACGGGCCGCGTACGGAAGGTAGACAGGGACGGCGCAACTTACTGTCCGACGGCAGGCGGTACGCGAGACCCTCGCGACGATCAGCTGACTACACGCATAAACATGCGTTTACATTTTCTCTCTCTCTCTTTTTCACACACACGCACGCACGCACGCACGCACGCACGCACGCACGCACGCACGCACGCACGCACGCACGCACAAAACCTTACCTTTTAAAGATTTGTCAACTTCTGTAGCTTCTCGAAAAAGATAGATGAATTCTCATTTCGATGTGATTTCCACGTAATGAGTGTTTATTTTATTAAATTTTCAATAGTTTTAATGTAAACGTCACAAGTTATCCACTGACTGACACAGATTAAATAATTAATTAGTTAATTCTTTTTTTTACAAACCGTGTCACTTCAACATTTTACACTCGATTCACATACAAACTATTTATTTGAAGAAATCACAAGAAATCTATTAATTAATGTATCTACTAATTAATATCCGTTACGTACTTTACAATCACTGTCGATTAATTATCCGTCCACTGAAAAATCACACGAAGAAAGAAACACACGACCCGTTCACTCGACACTAGCAAACAGTCGACTGATTTCAACTAATCACATGTCGCGTTTCGACTGCAGCGCTGCAAACATAACCATAAAATAACATCAGTCGACTGCTTGCTATCGTCGAGTGAACGCCTCGTGTGTCAGTAAATCGTCATGTGTTAGTAAATAGTGCTCGTGTTTCTTTCCTCGAGTGAGTTTTCAATCGACGAATAAATAATCGACATTGATTGATAATTATTAGCTACTTAATACATTCGGTATTAAAGTCAGTTGATTGCTTGCTATTGTCGAGTAAACGCCTCGTGTGTCAGTAAATTGTCGCATGTTTCTTTCTTTAAGTGATTTTTCAGTCGACGAATAATTAATCGACACGGATTAATAATAATTAAGTAATA